CACCGTTTTTAATGAGGAAGTTGTATGACTGTTAAAGCAACGAGTTGAGCTCAGTAGACCGTACTCACCTGGTAAACTTAAATTAGTGGCGGAATGCAAAGTCAAAGCAGGCCTGGAAGAAATTACATAACCTATTGCAGCTTTGTGCTGCTCTTTCAGCTTGCTTTCAATGCGTCTGCCTTCCGTTACGCCCATAATCCGGGCAAAACTTGGCTCTACTCCTGCAAATGGCCACACGACCTTCCTTCCTCAGATCAGAAAACTTGTAGTCGAGTACTGTGACAAATGGCCTTCGTCCGCCAACACACGGACCTTTCTTCTCAACCACATCGAAGACGTTGCACGGCAAAATCCTCACGTTGAAGTAGTTGTCCGGCAGCGATCTCAAAAGGAACCAATAATACGTGGTTTTTACGGTGAGTTTTTCCGAGAAGTATGTAACTCTTCGATATTGACCATTTATTCTCCTTTTGTTCCACCTAGTCAATAACAGAGATAAAGTCGTACCTTTAAACGGTCTGGAAGTGACTCAAATCCAGAAAAAAGTTGAACTTCTCTTGGACTCTTCGGGAGCCAAGATTAAATCTTTGAAGAAGACTGTAGACAGCACTACAGAGGCAGCTAGGGGAATTTGGAGTGGTCTTCATGCCGAGCGTCCGACACTCTGATTGTTCTTATTCGCCTTCCTCGTTCCTCGTTCACCTCGGTTTGACCCTCGCTGTCGTACACAGTCTCGAATCCCCGTATTAATGCATCACGTGAAAATATCACTACCTTAAAGCGTGTTCTACATGCGTCTGATCCTTTCTATCGCCTCCGCCCGCAACGATTCGCCGTTCTATTAAAACTTCATTATGCAATGCATCGGAATTTTTACACGTGTGGAACGTGAGGTTTAAGTATGCTCTCACCCCTTCCCAAAACTTTACGCAGGTATTCTTGAGGCTAGCCGTGTGTTAGGCCCATTGAAAAAGCTTGCCGCTAATACGACCTTTCTTTTTTACACCCCCAGCTTCCGCAAAGCTTCACCCTCCCTTTTTCTTGCTCGCTTGAGGCTGAACAAATAACCGTTCCCTTATACTAACACTTCCGCGCCCACCACCTTTCCTTCAGCGTGTTTTTACTTTGGCCCTCCTCCGTCGGCCATTAGCACAGAGAGGTAATCAGAGATGTATCAAGTGAGCGATCTTTCGTGTCTTGTGCGCATGAGATGAACAATTTTTATGTATAGCAATCCAACCTTTCCCTCATCTCGATTACTAGCGATGAACTACGATGGCTTGATGCCGCTGATACGATTCTTCAAGAATCTAGCACAACTGAACTTTTAAATACCAGCCCCATTCTTTCAAACAACACCGGATCTGTGCGTTGCTGTTTAGCAGATTGTTGATCGTCCATCTTTTCTTACCGTTTCCGGTGATCAGCATTCCTCCTCAGGCCGTAGCTCAACCACTATTACCACATCCACGATTCCCCGCCACAAGAACAACAGACGCCACTACCAACGTTCAACCAAATCTAGCAGCGCAAAAGTCGTTAACCGTATGTCAGGTTCCTTCAACAGGCGACATTCGCGTTCCAGTTTGAATCACATTGTGGTGCGTGTTGCCCAACGTTTCCATCTGACCATTGAACCTTACTTTTTGACTTTTGATCAATCAACAGACCGCTACGGTATCATCTTCATCTTCATCTCCGCAAACAAGCTCACTTGAGAGTCCTATACTTACCACGAGCACATCCCTTCCAATTAAGACACCACCACGTCTCAACAAACGCACAGCTTCTTACTCATCTACACATAGTGGCTCCCCGGGCTCGGAATGGATATACCGTCGTCCGAAATCGCCATCTGCAGCTTCCCCTCCGCGTCCTTCCGCTATTAAATTTGCTCGTCGCACCGTTTCTGATTCTACTGCAAGCGCCAGTACACCCTCTCCTGCCTCAACGGCAGACAGCAGCCGATGCGCCACTCCTACTTCAACCACGTACAGATCCGGCCTAGCAGCCAGCTATTTTCCAGACGTTTCGACAAGCTGTCTGAATGCTAGCTCGTCGAACCTTCCAGCGCATCTCGTCAACTGCAATCGAGACACCAATGTCAACAATGGCAGTGGGAGTAGCATCGGAAGTATCGGAAGTATTGGCGTCTTGATTCCTTCGACTATAGGATTAAACTCTTCATCGTCCAGTCTCACGCGACAACCGTCGTCAAGTAAGTTTAAAGCTTCTTCAGCGGGTCCAAGTAAGACGGGTGCTTTCTGGACTTCAATACTACACCCCCGGTCTGGACCAAACTCACGCTCTGAGAATCCATCTACGCTAAATCCTACTTCAGGTTCTAGAATAGCTCGATTGTCATTGGGTAGAGCAAAGAGTAAAAGACAACCGCAGCCGTCGAGTCCTCTTGCCGTCCATACCGCCATTGCCATTCCCTCAATATGGTCAGGAGCCGATTTGGATAGGGCGAATGGGATGAGTCCTAAACGACGAAAGGCGCGAGGAAGCCTGAAAGAGCTGGGTATCTCCCGCATTCCGGTGTCCAGTCGCATCACAGGGAACAAATCACCCACCTCACCTACGTTCTCGTCGCCACCGATATACAACACTCCCGTCAAGAGAAGAGCGAGTCATGTACGTTCCGGGTCATTTTCCTCTACGACGTCCTCTACCACATCTACCGCATACTCCAACTCATCATCGACGCCCTCTTCGCCTTTGACGCCATTGACACCCGGATCGCCTACTGTGGGAGGGTTCAGTTCAAATAGCATTGGGAAGACGAGGAAATTTCAGCCTAAATTTGAACCCCACCATCGAGTTATCATCGAAGTCGTCGAAGACGACGATACATCTCAGATGGATGTCCAACGACGGAAATCTCCCTCGCCCACGAAATCCATCCTGGCCTCTCGTACGCCGTACTCTGAATCTTCTTCCGACCGAACAAACTCATCATCCAAATTTGATTCTGGGGTCGATCTGAGTTTGGAAGCTAGCTTTCAAAGGAAGACCCAGAGAAAGGACAGTGTGAGTACTACAGTCAGCAGCAACAAATCTGTCAAATTTGTTGAGAAGCCCACGGTGCACTATGCCAGCGCGATCTACGAGTCCTGGGATGGGACTGTAGGTGCCGGTCCGTTTGATTACAACCACATGGGTATCGATTTGTCCGAAATGGATGTGGACATGAACGAAGGCGAAGACAATGAGGATGGGTGTCCGAGCGAGGAGACGGCGGAGGGGCATGCTTACATTCACAACTCCCATCTATACGCAGCGGGCGATCTCAACCTCGCAGGAGGCATGGCTTCACCTGCTACTAATACTGCCGCAGACGACGCCAAGTTCGTTGTCCCCACGCGGTTCGTGGAAGACTTTCATAACATCCGCCCAACACATAACACTCGCGCGCTGCGTGCGCAGGAACGAGAAGACACTTGTGTCACACCAACACCAGATCGAAGCAGGGAACGAACTTCGAGTGGCAGTACTGGTACTGGCACGCTGAGGAGCTTTGTTTCGTTGAAACGCAAAGGCTCCACGGCTTCCAGCACGACTAGTTCGGCTGTCAAGCGCGCTCCGTCAATCTCTTCTCATGAATCAAAGACCGCTACTCATCGTCCAACGATATCCGGTCCTTTTGCGTTAGGCGCCATGTCGCCGCATCTTCATCCTCACCTCGAGGCTTCTGAGCACCCAATAGCAAGCTCGGAGAGTGTTACCGAGGTCGAAGAGAAGAGGCTCAACATGGGATTGAGGAGCGCCGGATTAAGGAGTGCCCCTTCATTGGAGAGCTTCAAGAGCGTAAAGAGTGGGAAGAGTATGAGGAGTTTGAAAAGTCTACCGGAGAGTGTGAAGAGTGGCATCAGTGTTCGGGCAAAGGGGATGCGGGACTGGTTCAAAGGCAGAGTGACTGTCAGTGCGATGTAGTCTCTCATTTCGGGTTACGCTGGACGAAAATTTCTTGGCAAAAACATACCCACTACTAGGAATTGATGGATGTTGAATGGATCTTGGTTTTTCAGGAGAAATTACTACACATTAACTTATATCTCAAAGTAAGGTATCGGCTGCATATTCTCGTATATTCATAGACAATTCTTCGACATAAAATACACATCCAATGCAGCGGAAGTGTGATGCTAATCTTCCTCTTCTTTGTCCAAATCACCTTCGATGCCAACACCTTGGCCTTCGTCATCGAAAACCATGTCATTAACCATACCCGCATCGTTGAAATCCTCTGATGGATACTGCAGACTTAGATCGCCCATAGTATCTGAACTAGCCATGGGAAGTACTGGCGCCGGAGAAGACGCGTTTAATGGATGCGAAGGTGCCGCAGACAAAGACGCAGATACCGTTGAGAGAACAGTTTCCATAGATTCGCCCAGTCGATCTTCCAGTTCTTCAACGATCTAGTATTGGGGAATGATGAGAGGAAATACACAGGCTACAGCGTCAGATGCGCACAACATAGAGTTCTACTGGCTGCGTAGGAGCTAGGTTCACGATTTGTAGTTTTTCGGCTTTGGTAAGTTTATAGTTCGCCAGATCTTTGACTAGTTGTGTTATTCCATTTGGAGTTTGGGAAGACGTCGGCTGGTATTCAGCGGTCAAATATTGAATTGCCTGTGATAGCATTGATCATTAAATAACAGTGATAAGACCTGTAATAACGTCTACACACACTTCAACTTGTATCGTCCGTACATTCTCAGTGACCTCTATTGTCGCAGGATGCTTTGCCTGACTAGGTATGCCAGAAGCTTCTTCTTCCTTTTTGACACGAATTGCAGTCTTAGTACGCGCCAAATGGTCGTTTTCGAGATCCCGCAGAAGCTCGAGGACTTCAAAGTTAGAGAGAAGAGCGGAGCGCGAATTAATGACCTGCAAATCCTGAGAAGGGAAAAATGTTGAAGAGAAGACTCAAAACCTACCTCCATGAAGGTTGTATGTAAAAAAACAAAAACAACTCATTCCAAGGATAAAAATTCCTTCTAGCCGACTTGAACGACTGACCTCGTCATTACGTAATGAAATTTACTAGTGACGCGCTCTACCAACTGAGCTAAGAAGGACATTACCACAATTATACAAACCTATCTCTCTTTATTAAACGCAGCCATGTCTGTAAAACGCTTCCATGCTCTTCGACACGGCCAAGCTATTCACAAGTCAGTTGTTATCCTACTTACAATCTTATACCTCCTCATATATATACTTCTCCAGTGTCCAAAGAGAATGGCCAGAGCGCGATCCTCCTCTGACCGAACAGGGCCTCGCAGAAGCTGCTAGCGTCCATATGACCTTCATTCCAGACCTCATCATTTGCTCCCCAATGACTCGAACAATACAGACTCTCTACGCAATTCTGTCTCAACTAAAAGACCTCCCTATACAGTCCAATTCAGATAATGACAGAGTCCATGTAGAAATCTGGCCTGAATTACGAGAAACACACGACCATGCAACATGCAACTTGGGTCGTCCCAGAGCAGAGTTGGAAGCTGCTTATCCTTCTTTAGATTTCTCTAGATGTCATGAATTGTGGGACTACCCGGGTCATACTGACGAACGAGCGTTACAGAGAGCCGAGGTAATCCTTCAGGAACTCAAGGCTCGTCCAGAAAGCAACGTGCTGATAATATCCCATCGAGGAATCTTGCAATATCTTGTGGGAGGTGATGTTTTCCGTAATTGCGGTAAGGAACGCTTGCCGTACATTAAAAGCATCGTGTTACTGAAAATTGTCCCCCAATCATTCAGAACTTAGGTCTTACGAGTTCGATAGCCAAGGCAAAGTCGTTCCCATACCTGCTTAAAGGTTTAGTGAATCTTGATTTGTGTCTCTCATGGATTCGCTTGATGCGCCAGTACAACCACGGATCTACTTACTTCCTACCGTGCAATGTAGAGTCGAGAATTAACACGTCAGTTATACATATGAATGATAAATAAGCATTTCCCGTAATACGAGAAAGGTCTGTACAATGAACGATGCACTACAAAATGTGATAGTAAGTGGCGATTTTGCATGGGAAGACGGTCATGGGAGCACGGGAATGCAGGACTCGGTAACGAACTAATCAAGGGAGGATCGAGAGTATCCAATATCCAAGGATGAGCGAAACCAAGTGTGAATTTTGTATTGTATGTATGTATGTATGTACGTGAATGTAATCCAGGAACTCGAAAACGAATGAACAATAAGTTAGAGTTATAATGCAAGAAAGAAAAAAAAGAGCGATGATAACTTAAATAAATATGTACTCAAGAAAGATCATTGCCGGAAAAGATTATCTACCCGCCATGACAGTCATGGTAGCAGTAGATACGTGAATAGATGTGCGTCGAGATTGGACTGGTAGAATTTTATCCACCAGGGCGGAAGGGAGCGGGTCAATGTACCTTGGCGTGTTTGTTCCAAAGTACCGGAGCTTTGATTCGGCAGAGGAAGAGGGGACGTATTTCACAGAGGATGGTCCGTCCGGTATGAGCGGGTGATATAGCACATTTCTAGGGTCATGATTTTGAGAAGAGACAACATCGGGTTCGGAGTTGTGCGTAAAGGGTGGAACAGGCTGAGGTAGGGGATACTCATCCGTTGCATTCCTGCGCATGGAGTACAGACCCAGGCTGCCTTCAACGAACTGTCGAGCCCTGATAGGATCAGGTCGAACCTCGTCGCCATTAGCGTCAACGGAAACTATAAAGAAATATTCTTGGATTAATTTCGCTTGTCACTATACGTGGAAAAAAAAACTCACATATACTAGGAAACGCATGGTTTTGCACTCGGACAGTGTTATCCCGATGATGCCCTGGCCTAGTTCCATCTGTGTTACTATGCATCTGAACAGGACTGGACGTAAATAGCAAGTCTTGTTCAGCTCTATTGTCCCAGCTTGTCCTAGCCCGAGACATGTAGTTCTCTTCGAACGCTTGCGCTCGTTCTTCTTCAATATATCGTAATCGCGAATCCTCTCCTGACGTATGAACGTAGCTCGTTGGCTCTTCAAATAACAACGGAGGATTTGAGAGCGTTGAAGAAGGGGTGGGGAGGTTCTGCACACCGAAATTCGATAGTAACGACAATCGACTTTGAGACGATGTAGCAGACGGTAAACTGGACGATACGTTTGAGCTCTGGCGTGATTGAGCAGCTCTTGCTCTCATATTAGCACGAAGAAGTGATGCTTCCGCGCTCGGAGAAGGCGGAACTCCGGTGTTATCTAGACTGCGAGAAGTTCGTCCTTCGATCTCTAGTCGAAGCTGTTCGAGAGAAGGATCAAAGCGTCGCAGAAGGGCAGGTTCCGAACGTTGAGGTCTCGTGCGAGTGCCGTATTCAAAGTCCCGTTCGATGACTGTGGGAAGCCTGTATAGACTGTCCCGAGAAGACGTATTAGAATTCTGAGAGGAATTGCGGGTGGCGGAATCCCTAGCAGTGCCTTGTGCAGATTCACGAGCGGCTACCCGTCGACCTAACTCAGTATTGGGATCATCAGATAATGAGGATGAGGACTCTCTCCTTCTGAACGGTTGGGTATCCAGCGGTCGGTAAGGCAAGAGCCGCTGACGAGGAGGACTGAGCGGGGAAGTAAAGTTGAGCGGAGACTGCGCGGATGACGGATGAGAAGACGATGGAGAGATGGATGTGTCGAGGGGATGCATGTGAGCAGCAGCAGCACGCAATAGATGTGAATGTGCCCGATCCCTGTTTCTGTCCCTCTCCCACCTCTCGCGATCTGGTTCTGGATGACGAACTTCGAACTGCCTGAGGCGTTCCCTGGTATCTGCAGGAATTATTGCGCTCATTCTATCCATCCTCTCTGTTTCTTCCAAGTAGACCCGTTCGTTCTGGTCAGTGAGCATGATAGCTTCGTGGCCAGGTCCTAATCTGTTCCTGCTGATGCTGCCGTTTGCAGAGTCCCATTGCTCTGGGTACAAGATTTCTCTTCTCAGATGTCGGATGCGTTCAAAGGCGAAATCAAGCCTCTGTATGGTGTTCTGTATTGAGGACTCTGCATCATCTGCAGCTTCTGTGATAGTGCGATTTGGGTCGACGTCGCGGGAGGCCATGAGTAGTCAAAGCAGATAAACCAGGTACTAGCGTATTTTGAGAGATTCGTGTTTGTTCGTGTTGTAGCAACTAAAAGGCCATCCATAAATGTATATCTGTCTATCCATGCAAGCTACTGGCAAACTCACCCGTTGTCATACAGACGAAAAAGCCAGAGAGAAAATCCGAGATCCAGTTCAGAGTCAATGATAGGATGAGCACAGAGCTTGATTATCTTGGATAAAAGGAATGACGCCGAGTGCTTTAGGCTCAAGCTCGAAATTGTGTACTATGTACTATACTGAGGCTTGAAGCTTGAAGACCTAGAAATTAAGTAAGCCAAGTGCGGGCGCCAAAAAATTATGCCACATCTGATGGTTGGTGTTAGGCGAAGGGTGCCTTATCATTTTGAAAATTTCCGTTCTGCTCGAGTCTCAATAGGTCTCAATCTCCGATACTCAGAACAGCTCTCAGAGCTGGCTGTCGAAAATCGCTACCTTGGTCGCCCCGTTTGTGCAAATCAAATACGAACGCGTTGTACAGAAGTTACCTTATATGATTGAATTTCTCGGCTACTTAGCCACTACTACATTATAGGGATCTATCGAGCCCAGCCCACCATTGGACACAAAAGCCCATTCATCCTCAATTCATATTATAATGTATCTCCACCAAAACCACAGTGAATCGTATTAAGTTGTAAGGGTATGCAAAGAACAACCCTGGGCCAATCTAACTGCAAGGCCAAGTTCGTTCAGCGATCAGCCAGCAGTCTACACTCGGGAATGGAAGGTTTACTTACCTTAACGATCCCATAAGTTATGCAAGGTTGAATGCCGCATATATGTAATGATAGGCTTGTGCATCTGTTCCGTATCCGTGTATCGGGTTTTGATCAATAAGTATTGAACCTACCCACCATCAATGTTTCGAGATATCTTCGGACAAGAAAAGGCCCACAAATCGGAACTTGGTAAAATATTATATAGATCGCATTCAGTGAAACAACATGGTAGGTTGTCAATAATCAATGCCCTATCATAGCAAAGATCGAAAAAAGGCAAGGAGAATGATCCAGGCGGTGACGGATTGATTAACGATCATGCCCGTTACAGAACCGCCTGCACCAAAAGCTAACGGAGTGATCATTGTGACCTTCGAAGTCCCTTTCAAAGGGCAATTGCATATGTAGAGGCAGAGTAGACTCTAGTATGTGTACGAAATCTTGTCACACTGAAATGAACTGTTAGAACAAAGGTAGTTGACTGTATAACGCTCACCCAAGAGCTAGAGTGAGAAAAGCGACCGCGATTGCTCGAGGGGTATCTCCCGAACTGTACAGAGAATAACGAACGTCTCACTGATGATTCCCGCGACGAACATTGAGAGAGAAGTCAGCAAAGCTGGCTTCTCGGCAGACAAGATAAGATAGGCAATGAGAGCCGTGGGTTCGTTGGTTTCTCACACTCGAACCACCACCGGCTCTCATCGCTTCTCGCGCCAGCGAGCCATTTTTCGTGCCTTTCTTTTCTTTTTACGGGCGTTGAAACACGCATATATCTCTCGAATTCATGTCGTCAAATACCGTCTCAGAATCCCGAGTAAAACTCAGTTTTCTCAGACGCGCAGGATCTTCCATACAACAGGCAGATAGAATCCATCGCACAAACCTCCCGGCACTCGCCGGTTGGATAAAAAAGTTGACGCTGGAAGATAGAATGGAAAAGAACTGGGGTATTGAACGAAGGAATGCAGAAAGAAGGGAGATACAGGCGATGCACGTGGCAGGGCTTTCAGACACTGAGGGATCCCCAGTTGCCTCACTTTATTCCATCACATCAGAGGAGTGGGACAGCGTCAGGAAGAGCCCTACGTTATTCCAGAGGTTGAAGGAGTGGATTCCCGCCAGATACCTGGGCTGGATGACCCAGATGAACGAAGCTGAAATGCCTTACCTATGCGAAGTTCGAACAGGCCGCCGCCAACTACTATCGTTTTGAGACCGAACGAGATCCCGAT